CCCCTCCTATTCAGATTCACCCCCTTTCTGTCTCTCATTAGAAAACAAACAGACTTCTAAGGGATAACAATAAAGCAAAATAAAGCAACATACAACATATGGTACAACAAAAACTAACACATTGGAATGGTAGAAAACAAACAGAACTAAAAGAGCCCAAGAGAAGGCACGAGAAACAGAATCACTCATTTGCACACTCATGAAGCCCATAAGAACTGGAGGCCATTATACATACACAAATATATTATGTATATTTATAATATATACATTTATATAAACATATAAGTAAAATTTAAAAAATAGACAAAATTAACAACAACAACAAGAAGGAAAAGTCCTGATATGACATTATAGGACAAAAAGTCTCCAAAGATACTGCTGAGTTCATTTTCTGTTGGACATCCTGTCGGGCATGAAGCCTACCCTTAAGAGTATTTTGTTTACCTAGTAGTCTCCTTGGAGAAAACTAAATTTTTCATTTGCAAGTGGTTATCAATTAGAGATGGCTTCTGGGTTAGGGATGCGGGCCTGTGTTCACTTCTCCTTTCAGCTCTAGGACCCTATTTGGTGCAGACCATGCAGGCCTGTGCATGCTATGTACATGGATCATGTTGATTTAGAAGGCCTTGTTTTCTTGGTGTCCTCCATCCCCTCTGGCTCCTCCACTCGGGCTCCTCTTCTGTAAAGATCCCTGAGCTTTGCAGGAAGGGATTTGGTGGAGACATCCTGTTTAGGAATGATTATTCCAAGGGTCTCTCTCTCTCTCTCTCTCTCTCTCTCTCTCTCTCTCTCTCTCTCTCTCTCTCTCTCTCCTATATGGCTGTGGGTCTCCCATCCTAGAGAGAGCTATCTTTCTTCCTAGTCCCTTACTCTATATACTGAACCTCTATAGTTCTATGGATTGTAGTTTAGGTACATTGCTTTAATGGATAATATCCACATAAGGGAATTCATATCATAATTGCCTTTCTGGTTCTAGATTATCTCATTTAGGATGAGATTTTTCTAGTTCCATCCATTTAACTGAGAATTTCATGATTTCAATTTTTAAAAAATGGCTGAGTAATACTCCATTGCATAAACATACCACATTTTCTTTATCCATTCATCTGTGAGGGACATCTAGCTTCTTTCCAGTATCTTACTCTTATGAATAGAGCAGCAATGAACATGGTTGAGAAGTGTCTCTGTGGTAGGATGACCATCCTTTGGGTATATGTCCAAGAAGGGTATAGCTGGATCTTGAGGTAGGTCAATTCTTATCTTCCTGAGGAACCACCGTACTGATTTCCATAGAGGTTGTACACGTGTGCACTCCTACCTGCAATGAATGGGTGTTTCCCTTGCTTCACATCCTTGCCAGTATGAGCTGCCATTTGTTTATTGATTTTAGCCATTCTGCCAGGCATAAGATGAAATCTCCAGTAGTTATGATTTGCATTTCCCTGATGGCTAAGGATGTTGAACATTTCTTTAAGTGTTTCTCAGTCATTTGAGTTTCTTTCTTTTTTTCTTTTGAGAATTCGCTGTTTAGATCTTTATCCCATTTTTAATTGGGTTATTTGTTTTCTTGATATCTAGTTTTAAAAAATTCTTTATATATTTTGAATATTATTCCTCTATTATATGTGTAATTGATAAAATATTTCCCCATACTGTAGGCTGCCACTTTTTTCAAATGTATTCCTGTTGGATTGTACCTGTTAAGTTTTAGATATGCCAAGATATGTATGAGTCCTAAAGTGCTTAACTGTCGACTTGGGCTGAAATCTTCATCACTCCTATATTAATGCTCATTTAATATCACATTCCATTTTAATTTCCATTTTATATTCAGTCTGTTTTTCTGTCATTGTGTCTATTTTTCTAACTTGGAAATAACTGTAAAACAAGATCAGTTTTGAAGAGAATTGGTAATATACAAACACAGTTTTCTTAAATCAAAATGGTTTAGGCTTCCTCTATTTCATGTTTCTAGTACCTAACACATATTATACATTTATTATTTAAAATGAAAAATAATTCAATATATTTTAAAAGTTTCACTATCTTCATTACATACAATATATCCTAAGATCCTGTGAGCACTTTGAATGAAAACAGCTGATCAATCATTCAAAAGGTTTAACCAATATAATCAATGTAGGTATATTTTGTCTAGAGGAGTAGATAAAATAGATAATGCTTTAATAATGTAGTTTAAGCCCAAGGGTAACTGAGAAAGCATAAATTTATAAAATCTTAATTGTCACTTCATTGCTGAAGTGAAATACCAAGAAGAAATTTAGTAATATCTAAAGTAATTTTTAAAAGGAAGTCACATTGATTTGAAGGGACACTTTGCTTCATATACAATATCTTCCTTCGCAAATCTCAAGAGCACTCTTATTCGTGACATACATCTTTAAAAATTTCAGAACATAAATCTTTAGAGCAGTATTGTTTCTCCATAGCTAAAAATAAAAATACTGAGAATCTTTGTAATAAAAAAGAAACGTTGCAAACTACAGGAAACTTGGAGCTTTGAGTTAAGTGCTTATTTAACTATAAAAGTCAGTGTGTATTGTATGAATAGAAAACCAATTTTACCACTGTGAAGTCCTTACAGTAACCCTTTTCAGAATCAGAAAGATCATATATTAAAAATGGTCTCTGCAGTCATCAATGTATACAAGTAAAGTCTAGCTACTGTTAAATTAACACTTCGTTAAAATATCAAAGTAAAAGTTTCAACAAATACTTTTTTATGTTATATTTCAAAACAGGACAAAAAAATGAAGAACAGATTGCCAGTTCTTCTATTGCACAGCAGTTAAGTTTCTCAGTTCGCATTTTCTTTTCTTTTGCCGAGCTCTCTGTTGCTGGAAACTCTTAAACCGATTTCAAGGGCTACACCTGAATAAACACATTGTAAAAGTGTTTATGTATTGAAGTGGGTCAGTTCAAGGTATGGTATTTGGCTGGAACTCCTAATTTCTCTTTTTACAGCACAAGGGGCTGCCAGAAGGAGGAAGTCTGAGCTGAATTAATACATTTGTTGCAGTAGAAGGAAAATGGAAACTGCTCTAACCACAAATCAAACTGCCTCTTTCATTTATGCCAATGATAAAGTTTTCCTAAGAAGTATATACACTCTGGCACAGAGCCACCATAAGTTTGCATTTGAAAGAAAAACGTGTATGCTTATTTGTTTAAGGTTTACTGCTTGGGTTATTTGTAAGTCCTTTTCCTGGAAGAATAGAGTGTAGTGTGGCTTGTGAGGCAGATGTCCATTTTCATTCCTGGAGACAACTTTTCTCTGTTATAGGACAATCGTGGAAGGTACCCATGGAGCTTGGATTGGTGTAAACTTTCTTTCAAAAACTGGCGTCACAGTGTGTGACAGACCTTTGTCTCCCTCACAACAGCTGCATGAACTCTTATGACACGCTCTCGTTTTCTGATGGTAGAGAAGTCTCTCTGCACAATTCATGTGCACACAAAACTGTTTTTGCTGCCAAGATACACTGTGTTAAGAACAAGGGCTGGTTTGGTGAAATGCCGTCAGTGCCATTTTAGAACTCGTTCGTTCCTCTTGTCTTTTCTCTATGGTCAGTGAGGTCTTGTAGTGGACTGAGGTTGCTTCACAGTCTTTGCTGAATAAATATTTTAAGAAAACATACACATTTTCTCAAGGGGCATGCCAGAGTCAATCATGCACATATTTCAAGCCATGTTATATATTACTCTTACAGGATCAGTAACTTCATATCTAGAATAGTAACTTCATAGTCTGAATAATTTCCAAGTAAAGTTACAGCATAAGACTAAATAGTTCACCTCCTTTGGGTGATTTCCATAGAACTAGAAGGCAATCAATGGTTTTCATTGTGTATATAGGTATAGAATATATAATAGGTCCTTGTAATATATATATATATAATATATATAGTTACATATTATATAAACATATAATTTAAAATGACAATTACTTTAAATTGGGAGCATAGAAGTACCTCGTTCCTATAGTGTTTGTGGAAGCATATTAAATAATGCAGAGGAAGTACCCAGAAAATTATATAGCATATTCACAGGAAGCACTCCAAACATATTGGTATGATTATAAATATTGCTATTCCATAGCAAAGGCACTTTAAGACACCTCACTTTCTAGAGCCTAGGACACTCTGACTTGTAAAACACTCTGGTTTCTCCCTCTTTCTTTGATGTACAGCCACATGTACAGATTGACAAGGGTCTAAGATGTAAACTGAGTACATATCAAACATGAGTCTATATGCTCACTTACGACTTCATTTGAGTCTCCTGAAATCTTCTCAGCCAACTTTCAGTTTGTGGAAACTCCCAGGGAGAGGAATTTAGACATTTTCCCGTTTGTTTCACAGTGTTTTACAATGGGCATGGAGTTCACAACAGGCCTGCATTCTCAGGAAAAGTCTCCCAGAATGGCACAAAAAATGTTCACTCGAGCAAACAATTTTGTAAAGGTTACTGAGATGGCCAGAGTGAGTAGTGGGAAGGCTGTCAGTATTGACCTACATGAGAGAAGCTGAAATTAGCTGGAAAAAGGGAGATGCCCTTCAGACATTTGATTCTCATTGTTTAGAAAAAAATTATGGGGTTTTTAATGCAAAAAAGCTCAGAATTGACTTTGGAACCTGTGTTTGATGTGGGTATTTCACGTTTGATGGGTAAACAAATCCATTACTCTTAACATTTCTCGCTGTCCGAGGAAGTATCAGTGAACAAGAGCAGCCACGGGATATTCCCTGGTGTACTTCTATGTGTTTTGTGCTGTGGTAGACTAATAAGACAATTCAACAAATATGCCTGGATACTTATCTTTAATCATAAATATCAAGGTGTATAAGAATCTCGGTCTATAAAGAAAACATTCTGATAATGCTTAAATATTTTTCTCCTTTCCAAAGAACTGTAGAACTCATTCACACTACTTTATCTCTTTCCCACAAACCAAATGTTTATATGTTATGTCCTAGGACGCAGCATTAATGTAAAATCTGCTGGTCTTGTGGGAAGACATGGACCTCAGTCAAAACAGCCGTTCATGGTGGCCTTCTTCAAGGCAAGTGAGGTACTTCTTCGATCTGTGAGAGCAGCCAGCAAACGGAAAAATCAAAACCGCAATAAATCCAGCTCTCAACAGGACCCGTCCAGGATGCCCAGTGCTGGAGGTAAGATACAATGAGAGTGGCATTTGTGTTCAGAGAATTATTGGGTCATACGCTGCAAGTCAAGTTGCCACAATAAATTTGCCAGCTGCATATACCTTTATTTGGTATATGAAATCACCTAGCGATGTTTCTAACATCCCCAGAATGTTTCACCAGTGAATCACTCAGTAATTCATTTAAAAATAACTACGATGTGCCTTCATGTGTTGAAAGATTCCATTCAAATTAAAATCAAGCTGGCAGTAACACAGTTATGAAATGGCTAAGTCAACAAAGTGTAGCCAAAGTGAAATGGCACATCTTGAGGGCTAGCTTCCCCAAGGAATGGTCAACCAGGTGAATTCAGTATTTAGTCCTTCCTTTAATTTTTAGATGTGAGTCATGTAGCTCAGATCCTTTCTAGAACATAGGAACAGGGCAGATGGTCAGAGAATCAAGGTGTGCTTATATTTCCCTTAATTATCTGGTGGGCTGATATCTGAACTATCCAATTACATGTGCACATAAAACTTTTCGGCAAAATATTACAAATGGGTAGCTGATATCAATCTACTTTGATTTTAATTTATTCTCCTTCTGGTTGGAAAGGAGATAAAAGTATCACTAATTAGAAAGTATGCAACTGCCAGTGACCTAACTGCACACTTTATGCTGAGAAGGACCTTGGTTAGTCTAGGATATAAGACTAACCTCATGTTTTATATGAGGTAAAATTAGGTAAAATTGATGTCTACATTATTACAAGAATCTTTTTCCATTATGAAAAATAAATTTGGATCATAACTATTCCTAGAACTTCTCAACTTAGTAAAAAAGTATTTGTTTACTGATAATGATTCTCTTAACAGGTAACATATGTACAGTACTTTGCCCTAGCAAAGGGTGAGCAGATGCCTAGGACAGCCATGAGTCCCACTAACAGTATTTTGGCAAATTAGAAATCTAATTTCAAATAGCCTTTGCTATTATTAAAAAAAAACTTCATTTTTTGAGGTTACTTCAAAGTAACAAATCTCCTAGAACCTGAGATCGTCAAAGATGGAATTCATTCACCTTCCCGAATGTAGTTGCCAGATCACCTGGCATGTCTAGAAACAGAAGCAATAGAAGAGAATTATATATGGTACTACATTATACTGAATTAAATGCTACATATAAAATGAAGCTTTCAAATAAAGTTTCATTGAAGAATAATGGTAGTTTTATGCTACTTTGTTAAAGATACTCAGAAAATATTTAGTTTGGCAAAAAGTTATAGTCTCTGAATATGAAAATGGAGAAAAATAACCTTCTAAAGCCCCCTTTCCTTGCAAATACTAGCTTGTCAAAGTTATAGATGTGTATTTTTCAGCGAGGAGGTTTCTGAATTTGACTGAAATGTTTTTAATTTAATGTAGCACTTTGCATCAAGAGAGGGGTTTTCTAAACTCTGAATAGAATAGTAAACAATTTTTGAGGAAACTGGAAAGCAGAAAGCACAGCCATGCCCTTATTATTCGAGCTTATAATTACTCTGGCAGAAGGTTCCAGTGACAGAATCATCAAAGTCCTTTTCCCTCTGGGCCCACTCTATTTATCTTCTCTTCTTGACCACAAAGTAACAAATGTACTTCTATAACCATAGATGAATAAAACACATGGAGCAAAAACCAGCAGCCCTTTCCCCAGTTTCCTGACACGTTTAGTGTACATGCTTGTTATAGTATAGACTGATATTTCCCCTTGCAGAGTTGGTCCTTGGCAAGCATCTCTGTGAAATATGTGGTGGATGGTTTTGAAGCTAGTTCATATTTTGATAATAAGAAAGTAGCTGGTTTTCTATAAGACTTAACCTTTCAATAGGTAATAATCAAGCAGACTGGAAAAGCCTCATAGGATTTGGGCTAAAAGGAGGGACTGAAGGAAAGGGAATGGTAATATAAACAGAACACTTGATACTTGGGGGACTGGAAATGCCAGGTAAAATGTAAAATGATCCAAATATAAATAGTAAATGCCATAATAATACCAGGCTTTCATAATAAATGATGGAACAAAGGCTCCCTGACTAGTGTATGGGTGGATGCAGCTTTAAGAAAGAGTAATGATAGAGGTTTGTCAAATTGCAGTTCTTTTAGTGCATCTCATAAAATATTGGAAGTCTGAAAAAGCACAAAGCATAGGAAAATTATAATCCAGGTCAGGTCATTTTGACCATTTTACTTCACTTTTTTTCCTGTTTCAAGAACTTCTGTATTGGACATGGTGGTGTACTCACGTAATCCCATTACTCAGGAGGCTGAGGCTAGGAAATCCAGAATTCCAAGCCAACTTGAGTTATCTAGGGATGCTGCAGAAACATAAAAAAGGAGGGGGAGGGAGGAGAGTGGGCAAAAAGAAGGAACGAAAGGAGGGAGGGAGGAAAGGGATAGAGGAAAATAAGATTCTTCCCTTAGGACTTTTCAGTGCTCTCTGTCCCATTCGTAATCCCATGGGAGAGCCTAGAAGAGTGTTTACCCCAAAGTAGGAGCCTACCAAATACCTACTAAACAAATCACCATGTTGATCGCTCCCGGAAAACCAAATTCCTCATTCAAGTGAATATTCACAGAACCATTGCTTCCAGAACGTCTGTGGAGTTTGCTCCCGTCTCAGTTCCTTCAGCAAGAAGGCTGGGCAGAAGTCCTGTGGATGATGCTGACAGTGTCACATTGACCATGCACAATGAATTTTTTTTTTTAATTTTAAGTTTGGGTGGTAGAGGAAGGAAAAAAAAAAACATTAGCCAAGTTTTAAACCAGCCATCCCTGTAGATACAGCAGCTATAGGTTGATAAGGTTTTCAAAGAACTCATGGACCTTGATGTTGTTTCAAGAGTTATATAAAGTGCTCAAAACAGCAGAGTATTGAGAGTCTGTGAAAGCTGACAGGAAAAAATGCCAAGTCTCAGCTCACGCCAGAACTGCTGGAAGACATTCTATCATGTGTTTAGTACGAAGGACCCTTGAAAGTGGGTCTGGTCTTGCAGTGGTCCTGCTTGAAGCCTTGATAGCTTCTCAGGGTAGTTCTCTCCCATAGTTAATCCTAACTCAAACATTCTGCACTTATTCTCAAATCAAATAAACATTACCTCTTGTCTAATGTATGCAATGGAAACCTATGCCTCTTGAAACATATCAATCCAAACAAGGAAAGAGAATTAATTAAATTATCCAGAGTGCTCAATACTGTATTATCAGTCAAACTACACAAATGATATGTTTTGTGTATTTTAGAAGTGATTTAGTCATCTTCCTAGCAAAATGACCTGATTCTTTTAAAATGTTGCAGCATTAAAAAAAAATAATACTAGAATTAGTGTAATCACATCACTTTTAAAGAACGTTTTGCTTGTTTCTAAACGAGGTTTCTAAAATAAACACTGTACTGAAAATCCTGCAGTGCTACATACAGGAAAATGTTTCCAATCTAAATGATTCCTATAGAAATTAACATTAAAAACTGATTATTCTGTGAATCATGAAATGTTTTAGAAACCTTTCTCAAACAATTATTCTGGCACACCTCATATGTCATTAGCTAGCCCTATTTCTTTATTGACATGATTTGTTTTTTTTTCTATTGTCTATCATTTAATACTGACTACATAACTTGCTAGTTATGTAGTTTTGGATATGACCGCCAGGTGACTGTTGATCCTATTTACTCAGTTTGTGAGTATGAAAATAGAGCAAGAACAGAAGTAGAAACAGTGAGTGGGAGAGATTTGGGAAACTTTCGTTTAGAGAAGTCTAGCAGATAGTAGGAATCTAAAGTTTGTAGAGAAATTTCATGTTAGTAGCCTCTAAGGTGTGAATGACATGTGTATGAGTACAGGGATTCTTGGCTACATAGAATTAAGGGAACATTCCAGGTAGGTGTTAATTTATTGGCTAATGTTTTGTGCCACAAATTTATACCCAGAAAAGCACAGATATCTCTATACAAGCAAATAGCAGCAACTCCTCTTGGGCAGGTTATATTTATTCAAGTTGATAATTCGCTGAGTATGGCCTGTCTCCCTTTTCAGGCTTATCAAAATTGCCCTCAAGAACATATCAAATTCACTTTATTGAATAGTCTATTGTGAGCTTCCTTAGTCTGCGTTCATCATTTTCTGTGAATAAATTAAATTTCTTGTCCTAATTCTCTAGTTGTTCACTTCCTGTTTTCTTTTAAAAGCTAAGAAAAAGAAGGCTAAAAATCTCTTTTGTTTTGAGACAGGGAATTTTTATTATCTAGTTCATTTAAATTGTTGTCATGCTTAAATGTTAAGTTCTGTTTTGGATTTCTCTCTCTATCATCTATCTATCTATCTATCTATCTATCTATCTATCTATCTATCTATCTATCTATCTATCTATCTATCTATCTATCTATCTATCTATCTATCTATACATATTATATATATATCTCCACACCTATCTACCATTTATCTACCAACTCTATCTGCCATCTACCTTCTATATATCATCTACCTATGCCACCTCTTAAATGCAAACATTGTTAAAACATACATGGAGTTTTTGATCACTTCAGTAGATTATCATCCCTTCGACATCTGTCCAGCCTCTCTTCACATGCCCTTCAATAGTTAGTGTTCAGATCACTGAAAGCTTATGTAATCTTAGGGTTTCAATCTCCCACCTTTTTTTTTTTACCACCTCCTATTTTATTACATTTTTGTTATTATTAAGTAGAAAATAGAATGATATTTTAAAAAATTGAATTAATTTCACATTTTTGCTATAAATTGGCCATGAAAATTTGCACAAATAATTAGTATTTTCAACGTTTGACATTATTTTCCCATTACTACCACAATTAAGAGATAAACCAGAGAAATATTATAACGCATGCATATGTTTGACGTACATTAACTTACTTTTTGTAGTATTGACTTGTACCTGAACTTATTAGTAATTTCTATCATGACTTCATTTTTAATTTTTAATATTTTTATTCATTAAAATATACAATTT